AGCGCACCGCCTCAGCGAATCTCTTCCGCTGCTCCCACCGCGCTCCCCCGCAACACCACGCAGCCTTCCCCCTGAAGATTACGGGGGAAATTCGGGATTATCCCGGTGCACCGGGATTTGCCAAGGACGCTCCGTGCCCTGGAAAAGCCGGGACGCGCAGCGCGCCTCACTCGGAGCCGCCAGGGGGCGCTGCCGCCCCCTGCGCGGAGCGCGCACGCGCTCCGCGCAGGCGGGCGGCAGCGGCCCCTGGCGGCCGGAGGTTGCAACAGCACACCGCATTCATTCCCAAAAATACTTTTTTTATTCCCAAAAATACTTTTTTTTATTCCCAAAAATACTTTATTTATAATATAATCCAACATCTCCAAGATCCAAAAAAATACAGATAAACATTTCTATTTTTTTTTTTAAACTTTACATTCCTTAATTTTTTTTTTCTCGTTTCGGTAATTGGGTGAAAGTCGTTTTTTTTTTTTTTGAACTTCGGTTTGGATGAGCTGTAGTAAAGCTGGGCCCCCCACTTCCAGGGTGGGTTTTTTTTTTTTTTGGTGATGTTTAGTGGGATGTTCCTTTAGGGATCTCCCTTCTCCAGGAAATATTTAAACAGTGTACATTCAAAAGTCAGAAGGTTTAAATCCTTTAGTAAGCAAAAAAGGAAAGCTGGTGGTATTTCTGTCTACAAGGAATTGTAAAAATTCAAAAATTCAAAATACAACCAAGTGTAAGAGGGCAGGAGATGCTCCTGAGCCTATCCAAGCCCTGCACTGGCATGTTCCCGGTGGGAGAGTTTATTGCTGGTATCAGAATTTGGATGCTTTACGCATCACAGAAGAGAATGCTGTACCTCACACTGTTCATCATTCCTAGAAAAATCATCCTTTCTTTTCAGGGCTCTACTTTCTAGAGCTTGTTTTCCTTTTTGTTTTGCTGGTTCAAGTGGAAAATGCTCTTCAAAGCCTCAAAAGTATTTCTAAAAACGTGTTTTGTTAAMCTCCTGACCAGAATTTTGGAGCTGAGGGAAGTTGGCTCCACACTGGTTAATCAYCCAGAGCTGCTCTCTTCCCTCATGGAACGTTTCCAGCAAGACCTCCAGAGTGGAATTTTGAGCTTATTTCAAATCAAAYGCTTAACCTATGGTAATACCAATAACTAACAAAGCCTTAGGAAAAATGGGAAAAAACGTTGTCTATAACACCATTGGATGGAAGGGGAAAATAAAACCTGGAACAGCATTAATATGGGTTTTCAGGACACAGCAATGCTCTGACTCAGTCCAGGGCACCAGGTCGAGGAGCTCTCATAAAATTTGCTCTCATAAAGAGGCAGGAAGAAGAGGGCTCACTGTACCTCCAGGTTTGTATGACTGTGCTGTTCCTCCTCCTTCTCTCCATTAACTCCCCTGCCTGCTTTCTGGGTATTATTCCATGGCAGCMATGACAAATGTGCATCACAAATGTGCATTTTCATACACAGAACGATGGAAACTTCTCTCTGTGATGCAAGGTAGTAAAGACATATGCAATGTTACACTGGATGTGGCAGGACCCCAAAGACAGGGATTTTTTCCTAAAATCCATCMTTTTTTCCTGCCATAAATCAATGTTCACAGAAAAGCTGCCTCAGGATTGAGAGGTTTCTTCTATGTCAGCAACAGGCACAAAGCCCCACACAGGGAAGAAGTGGCAGGAGCTGTGTTCTACTTTCCTTCATTGCAAAACATGAATAAGAGGCTCAGTGTAACAGGAAAAGCCTTTTTTTCTTTTGAAAACAGGTGCCAGGATCTGAGAAGTGTTATTAATCTTCTGTACTGTTTATTCAGCAGAAGAAAAGTTTATCTGGAAGTTTTTTTAATGCCTTTCAAGCAGTCTGCACTGAGAGTTCCTGCACACTGGTATGGAAAGCAGCACACAGCCCTGCACAGAGCTGCCACCAACACSCCTCAGGGACCAGAGCCTGCAAAGTTCATGAGTTTGGGGCTTTATTTTCCCCTCCAGCAGCAARGAGGGAACCCTGCTGCACCTTTCCCCACTGCATCTTTCATTGTAGGCAGGTAAGCCTCATGATGCAGGAGATAGATGAAGGCAAGATTTTRCTCTTCCCTCAACTTCTGCATCCACTGAATCTCAAAAGGAAAAATCAGAGACTTTTGCTTTCCTTCTCCTGATTTCCTCTCTCCCTTCTGCTGCAGCCACTGACATTGTGCTAATGCTAAGATTCACATTCATCATCTGACAGGCAGCTTAAAGAAGTCAAGAACATGCAAATGTGGCCTATTAAAAAAGACAAGAAATKATGTTAGAACATTCCTGAACAGCCACCTTCAACAGCAGAGCCACACCATCATGGGAACAAAGAGTGTCCTCGTGGAGCCTTTCCCTAAAACCTGATTTCCTGATKTACCCAGGTGCCACACAGGCAATCACCACTAACAATTCAGGCCTTCATCTTATTTTGTGAATAAATCCGACCTTCTCTCTCTGTCTCTCCAAGAATACTGTAGGTTTCATCTTCACAGTGATGTACTTAAAGGATCTTCAGGGAAATGGAAACAGCCAGGACAGGCAACACCCTCTCTCAGTATTATTGTGCAAGACTAACATAAATAAAATCTCCGTGGCAAAGGGATTTGGGACTCCCTCCCAAAGTCATTGTCATAGGAAAGAACAGGAATTTCAACTGGCCACTGGATAATTAAATATCATACCGGAGAAAGATGGAGGAGAGATTAACAAAATATAATCAAAGGTAATATTGCAACGTGAATGAAGGAATATATTAAATTCTTCTTGCCTCGATGGTGTATTCCCCTCTACTCCTTACTTCTTTTTCTTTCTTTCCTGAACACAACGAGGACAAAACCTGCAGGGAAAGTGACAGTAATTAGCTACCAAAATTAACAACACAGAGCCCAAGAAATTTTTTTAATGTTTGTGCACAATGAAGCTTGTTTCTGACAGGCAAATTATTAATTTGATTAAAACTAACAAGCCCATAGTCCTTTCAAAGATGAGCATACACAGAAGCAAAACCCTGAGAAGTGTACAAGGTTTGCTTCCAGAAGTGAAACAAATAGGTCTCTCACTTTTAGACAGAAAACACAGCAAACTTCAGATGTCACATGTACATGTTCACCCAAGCCTCAGRTCAAAACCTGCTCTGTTTATCAGGCAGTTTTGCTCCCACCAGAACCCAAGACTTCTGTAGAAATGGATTTTAAGAAGAAGATTCGTCTTGTATCTTCTAACCTAAAACACGAACCCCAGTCACAGAGGATGCAAACCCTGTGAGAAGAGCAAAGCTCCTCTGTCAGGGTAACAACAGGGTTTTAATTCTTGYTGAGACAAACTGCAGCCTGATAAAAAATCCCAAAGCTGAATGTTGTCACACTTACCATTTCCCTTTTGGTTTGGTGGTCAGGTCCACACATGCAAAGTGGAACCATTCGATTGGGCACTGCAGATGAGAAAGGAAAAACCCACAGAGGAGATTTTTAGTGACTCATAAACATTCCTGTCATTTGGCATGACCTAACTGAGCAAGGACACCCTCCTTGGAATGTACAGGGGTGGGAGGMAATAAATCAAAATAAATCATCTCTCAAGTGCTTACATCTGGGTTGTCACAGCCRATCATCTCTCCATAGGACACCTGGTGACACAGACAGTAGGTGGGCTCGTTGGGATCCACTGGCATGTCCAGCACATCCGAGGGATGCACTGACAGGATGGTATCAGCAAACTCTGACCTGTGGGCAAGGACAGAGTCAGCACAAAACACTTCTCAGCTGCAAACATCACTTTGTTACAACGGCATGGATTCCCACTGCAAGAAGGCAGGGTTAGTTGGGATATTGGGAAGGAATTCTTCCCTAAGGATGGTGAGGTCATGGCACAGGGTGCCCAGAGAAGCTGTGGCTGCCCCATCCCTGAAGTGTTCATGGCCAGACTTGGAACAAGCCGGGCTAATAGAAGGTGACCCTGCCCATGGCAGGGGCTCAAATGGGATAAGTTTTAAGGTTCCCTCCCAACCCAAACCATCCTGGGATTGATGTTTCCAAGATCTAAATCCTACTTGGGAAAATAAAGATTTTACAGCATCTTCCCTAAACCACCCTGACCCTGTTTTAGAGTTTATATTGCATTACCACAATCCAATAATTAAAATCATAAGGTAGATTGGATCAAGCACAGTATGACTAGMAAGGATTAAGAGGGGGATTTGTAGATGCCATGAGTAAAGTAACAAATTATCACACAGATCACTCCTGGTTGTGGGTAGAATAACCTGTTTGGGTTTCTTCCCCAGTCTGTTCTAATATACATTTTTTCTCGTTGTCAGGCATGAGTAAATCCTCTTACTCTGACAGGAATGCGTTGACATGTTAGTAGCAGTCCAYAGAAACTATTTTTAGTTTCCTGCCCCTCCATTTAGCCAACTGGAAATATCAAAATAAACTGAGCCCCTTTAATACAAATCAAAGAGGGGACATGCTTTCCTCCTTGCCTCTCAAAAGCAAATCAKATTATTCAAGGCTACCTAGGACATGATCCTTTAAATACAACCCTCAAAATTCTCCAAGATTTCCAGAACAACAGCACAACATCAGTTTCTATCCTGATGGACAAGCACATTTCTTTTTACCATCAAGACCATAAACAACTGTTAAAAATAGCCCTGTGACAAAAATCAAAGCTATTTTCTCCCAGCTTGCCAATAGCAACAGGGAGGCTGATCTTGTCCTTCCAGTCAGAGTGTTCCAAGCATGCTGAGCTTCCACATGCCAGCCAGGGAGTTAATTAACAATGCTGGCTTGTCCTAARCAGGACATTAATGAAATGGTGTAAGACCAGAACTCTCTCACCATCCGGACACGAGTCATAAATAAGGTAACATGAGCTTGTGGAAAATTCATGAAGCATCAAGCCCAAGGCTCTGGASCTGTGCCTGGCTCTGCCTTACCCTCCTTTGAGCTTCTTTTTCTTTGGTGTATCTTCCTCAGATGTTCTCCTGCCCCGACCACGAGAGCTTCTTTTGTCTTTCTGACTTCGTCCCTCTAGAAAGGAAAAACACCACCATCATTTCAGCCTGTTTGAGTGGCAGAAACATCCCCAACTTTTGATGCAGTTACTGTCTTGAAATCCCTATTTCATATGTAATTGACTAATCCTTATTATAATGTGATTGAATATGCTGACTGAAATGCATTTAAAGCCACAAATAGACCAAAATGACAAGTACAGCTGAGCACCACACTCTTGTGTTTGCAGTTTTGGCAACAAAGCACTGCAGGACGTCAGCACAAGTCATAAACACCATCACACTTGATTAGACACGCAGGATTTTTTAAATCTCAGTATGTTTTCAAACACAGTTAATAGGTTACTCAATAACTAACTTTTACCTCCACCTCTCTGCTCCTATCCCTTATTTCATAGTTCAAAGGCATAAAGCTGTGCTGTGCTGCTGTATCCCCACTCCAATGTCACTGTAAGCACCCAATATTTCAGTATATGCTACAGAAACTGCTATCTTCCTTAAACTCCTCATTTTTCCTGCTTTTTCCAGCTTGATTAGTATGCAAATTCTAATAAAAGGAGGAAAAAGAAAATCTCCCTTCAAAAAGAGCTTAGAAATCCATCAGATCAAACTGAAAGTAAGACTGTTACACACCCCAGTGCAGTTTTGGCACAGCACCCTCCTTCCAACCATTCACAACCTCAGGATGATCTGTGAAACACTGACAGTAGGTTTGATCCCAGCACTAAATTTCTCTTCATCTCCTGCTCACTGTAAACATTTTGAAGGCCATTAAAAACAAACAGAGAACGGTGCACAGAAATAAGAGCCTTTTTCACATCTCAGCCTCCCTGTTTTGATACTCTTTTAAGTGCTGGAAAATGCTCTGAATTGTGTAAAATTCACCCACTTTTCAGACTTCGAGATCCAGGGGTTTCAAAGTCACTGCCTTCCAGTTTATCTTTGAGATCAGCTTCGAAGCGTGCCAAGTCCGCATCCAGCCGGCGGATGTGCTTATCCACCTGCACCAGGAGGAAACCACCAACTGAATTACAAAGAAATGCCAAAAAAAGAGCCCCAAACGAAAACAGGAAGGGCAAAAACTCGGCTGTTATCAGCATGAACAGAGTGTGGTAGTGCAGAGCAAGGCAGGCAAAGGGAACAGGCTGGGAAAAGGGAAACAGCACACACAAAGGGAATGAAGGAGGCAAAAGCAAGAGGACCCAGTCCCTCCACAAACAAGCAGAAAAAAAGGAAAAGGGAGGCAACTCAGACTAATGATTTTCAGAGCAAAACGAGATGAGAGATACTAAAGATGCTTTGTCCCTGCAATTTCCAAAATTCAAATACAGTCCTTGAAATGTGTCAAGTAGAGCAGTTAATTTTTTTCCCCTGGTACTCTGCTGTCATGTGACTCAAAGAAATTTAGCAAAATACAGACAGAAGCTGACTATCACCAATATCAAGTCAAAACATGTTAATTAAGTACCTTGTACTATCCTGGCTGCAATAAAATGACTTTCACAACAGGGATTTTAAGCCACCAACCCAAATTGTGCTGCTGCAATACTTTGTCATCAAATGAGTTCACTAGTTATCTGGGRCACTGATATTCCTGGGACATGATTTTCTTTTCTGCAATATTTAATGGCAATAAAACATCTACTGCATCAAAGCATCTCTAYAAGCTGGACAACAAACAGTACAGTTAAAAGGATTCCCCACACTCAAGTTTTATCCAGGGGATAAAACACACAGAGATAAGAATTATTCAAGGGACAGGAACAAAGGAAAAAAAAAAAAGTGGAAAGGTGCATCTTAAGAAATGGGATTTTCTCAAAAGGTTGATCGAGGAAATGTTGATGTCCAATAAACCAAAGCAATTGAGCAGAATTCCTGCTGYTCCTCCACAACATAGTACAGCAGCTGACTTAAAAAAAAAATGTCCTTTCAACTAAGCCCCAAAGAAATTATCAGTGACAGGGAGCTGCTGGGGAGGAGGGAGTGGGGTAAATTCRCTGGCATTACCACACAGCAGATGGGTACTACTGATAAAGGCACCTCCAAGAGCGATAAACTCACTAAATCTTCAGCAAAAGAAAAACCTGGTGCTTCAGGAGAAGGCTTTTGGGGGATGGCAGCAGTGAGAAATATAAACTTGAGGATAAATAAGCTGTTTCAGTAAGATATTAAAAAAAAAAAAAAAAAAAAGGAGCTGTCAGGGGAAAGCTGACACTGGGAAGCATCTCCACGTGCCCCATTCCAGAATGTGGCCACTTTTCCACGTCTCATGGCTCACCATCTCGTAGGTCTGCATGGCCAGCTGCACTTTGTCATCACTGTACTCTTTACACTTGCTGTAGGCACTCTGGATCTTCTTCAGGTGCTCCACTCGCTCCTCAGGTAACATGTTCTTCACTGACTCRATGTATTCTGCTGCCAGGCTGTCAATCTCTGCTTTCTTGTCTGAAAACAAAGCAGACACCTGTGAGAGACCTGGCTCATTCCTTAATTTCCCTTTTTAAAAACAAAACCAGTTAAGTTAAATGTATTCACTTTTGGATGCTTGTAGTGTGATTCTGCTTTCTCAAGGRTTCTACAGCTAATTCAAAAGTTAATTTACAGTTAAAAACAGAAATTGAACCCATGGGTTCACAAGCTTCACCTTCTCTTCCCAGAACATTTTGTTTGCTGTGCAATTCTGTTCTGATGTTTCAAACTGAAAATCATTAATGTGCAGCCAGGTATCAATAAAAACTCCAAAAGTGAAGAAAAAATGGTCATGCAAGGACACACAGATCTAGAACTTGGTAGAGAAGGAAATACATGGAAGGAAGTACAGAGTACAGTGATCACACAGCTATGAATTAAAACTGATTAGAAATCAAAGCCTGTGAGCTGCACCCTCACAAGAAAGAAATAAACACTGCAGAACACTCGGGCTGAGACAAGGAACAGCAGTAGAGGGGAGACACGTCCTTTAAAGGGCAGCCTTCATGGGTTTCAGGCCAAGCTCTCTCAGCCTTTGCTCGCCGAAAGAGCTGCACACACCTTCTGTTCTCTGATCCAGCTCCCGCATCAGCTGGAAGTTCCTCTGCAGCTCGCACGGAAGATTCTCAATACCTGCAAGAGAAACKCCACTAAATGCTCCAAGCAACACGGTCTGCGGAGCTGTCCCTGCCCGTGGCAGGGGCTGGAAGGAGGGGAGCTTTAAGCTCCCTCCCGACCCAAACCATCCGGTGAATTGCATACCGTGGGCCGCTCATTCAGCTCAGCGGAGCCTGAGCACCTGCCTGGGGTGTTCGCAGGCCGGCACTGAGCCGGCACCAGGGCCAGCTGAGCGGGGAGCGGGACACCCGCCCCATAGAGAGGAGCCGGCAGCAGGGGCCAGCTGAGCGGGGAGCGGGACACCCGCCCGACAGAGAGGAGCCGGCAGCAGG